GCCCACTGAGTTAGCCTGTATCCACTTGGCCCACTCCTCTAGGCGTTGGGGCTGGAAATAGCAGCTGCTCAAAAGCTGACAATCAAAGGGCAGCTAAAAAAAGGCCCCTCAGTCTGGGCTCTGTCGGACACGGCTCATAGGGCCTATTTTGAGGGAGAGGGTGCCGACGTGCCAATGGAAAATCCATGGGGCGGGAGTCTTCAAAGGTGAGTGCTATATGCTTCCCTCTCCCCATCCCAACTGACACACATGTGCACACATGCATGTGCACACATACACATACCTATGCACACACATACACATACAAGTTGTACCCTTTAGCCCTCCTTCCCAACTGTTGGGCCCTTTCATCCCTATAACAACCTGGGAAATGGATGAGGAACTTGAAGTACAAAGCTTGGCCTGTATCTCAGTGGGTAGAATCTTTACCTCACATAGAAGAAGTCCTGGGTTCCATCCCCAGCACTGCATAAACTGCATATGGTAGCACATGCCTGTAACCAGCCCTTGGGAGGTGTGGGCAGGAGGGAGATTCAGAAGTTCAAGGTCATCGTTTCCTACACTGAGAGTTTAAGTCAAGGGTAAATGAGACCTTGACTAAAAAACAGCCCAAAACACAAAATTCAAGGTTGCACAGCTAGGAAGAAGGTGGGATGGTGACCCTCAGGCCAGTGCTGTTTTTCAGAGTTCGCCCTCATTGAGTCAGCCAGCCTACTGCTTTCTGGAGAGCCGAAGGCTCTGAGATGGGAACAATAGAGATGCACTCTATGTTGGGTGGGTAGGGACCAAGTATGACACCTGGGAAGAAATCCCACTGGAAACTCCCCAGTTGGTTCTGAGGCTCCTTGCCTGGCTGTAGGAAAGGCAACTTCTGCAAGGAGCCCAACTCCCACCCATCTATGACCACCTGATCCCCCTCTGCCTGGGCCTCCAGAGACTGGTAGTCCTTGCCAAGTTTCCAGGGAACGTGTCAGATAAGGGGCTTGTGCTCGTGACTGTCTCCCACTGTCCACTATCTCTGACCCTATTGCCACCACCAGGTGGATAAGAATAGCAACAGCCCGGTAAGGGGCACACACAGGGGCATCACAACTCAGACAAGTCTTCTGTTCCCTCCCCATCAGTGCCAGTCCCACCTGCTGTTTGTCATTCTATGCTCAAAGTCCTACCACACATTGTAAAGCTCCAGGCTCAGCCCCAGCTCCTGCTGCCTTAACAGAGGATCTGGGGGAAGCCAAACCACTCATGTGTCTAGGCCTGCCCTCCACAGAGGAGCTGTGTGACCTGGGGCTGGATGCTGTCTCTCTCTGGGCCATAGACAGAGCATAGCGGCACAGCAGTTCCCTAAAGCATGAATGACAGCCAGCTGGGTTCTCTCCCCAGGCTATGGCCCTTCAGTATCCTGATAATCACAGCCATATCTGGCTTCTAAATGCCCTTGAGAATGCTGACTCTAGCCAGTGAGGATTCAGATGGGGTGAGGGTCCCCATATTGCATGTGGAGGGGTCCCTGGGGTAGATCATACTGTCACCTCTGCATGACTCTCCTTGTGACACTCCTGCACGTATACAAGGGTGGCCACGTCACTCTGAGGGAAGAGGCTGTTGTCATGGAACCCACAGTGAGCGTCACTGTGACATGGAAAGGAGGTAGATGCGGGGAGACTTGTCCCTACGTTTCTGAGTTATTGTGAGTGACACCTGGTTGTAATTAAGGTGTCTGAGTCTCCAAGTCCTCTCATCAGCTCTTGCAGCCTGACTCACTACAGGAACCAGCACCCCAGCCCCACCTCCACCCCATTTCAGTTCTAGTTTCTTGCTCTCTTCATGACCTCATTCTCAGATGACCCTCCCCCTTGATCTTCCAGCCTGCCTCCTGTCCCCCAGCCCCCCACCTACTTAAGGGTCCCCAGGGAGGAGGTTGGGGATGCTAGGGAAAGAGAGGAAGGGATGGCTGTCTGAGCTTGCACACTCACGAACATTTTCACACCATACGGATGAGTCCAGAGAACACACACTCTTTCAGGCTCACAACTGAACAAGGCTGACACAGTGTTAGGGCCACCAAGGGTCCCAGGCTGTCTCCCAACATTGCAGTGCTGCAGGTGGGTCCCCACCATTCCTGCATCCTTGCGGTCCTGTCAAATCCCTGAGACCCTTTGTCAGAAACATCTGCCCACAGCAGCAGGATGGTCTGGTGGTGAGACTACAGGAAGAACTTCCCTGAGGCCCAAGATAGAGCCCTGGGATAGGTGTGGGTGCATGGGGGTCTCTGGGATCCCAGTACTGTTTCATTCTTTGGGGGTGAGGTTCAGAGTGACCTTGGGGCCTCTAGCTTCAAGAGCTCTATCGCTGAGGCTGGAAAAAGTTTAAAAATATCTTCATGTTTACATTCTTTCCAAGCCTGCCTCCTGGGCTTCAGTGCTGGGTCTCTTTGATCTGGCCCTATGCCTCTGGAAGGGGCCTGGGAGAGGGGGAGCATAAGCCTCTGCTGGGTTGATCCCCCATCACCCTACCCCAGTTAGAACCCTGTGACACCCTTTGCATCACAGAGCCAGAAAGCACCCAGACTGGTGACTCAGAAGGCCAGTGGGTGCTGGATCTGGGACTTCTCCATACTCCCTCCCCAAAGCACGGACTTCAAGTGCCTCTAGGTAACATAGGTATGGGGCTGCAGGCATTTTTAATGATCTGGGGAGAGCCATAATTACTGAGCTCCTTTGGTGTTCCTGACTCTGTGCTAAGCGCCAAGCCTGACTCCCCCAAAACCCCATTTTATTTGATTGATTGGTTGATTGAGATAGAGTCTCTCTGTAGCCCCAGTGGGCCTGGAACTCGCTGTGTAGACCACGCTGACCTCCATCTCATAGAGCTTTCCCTGCCTCTGCGTCCTGAGTGCTAGAACTAAAGGGCACGGCATGACGCCCAACTAAAATCCCATTTTATAAACCAGTAAACTGAGGCTTAGAGATAAAGCGATTTATCTGGGAGTACACAGTAAGGAAGAGGCAGGGCTTATCTCCTACCTTGCTTCACTGTGGTGTAGTGTGAACCTTGTCTGCCTGCATAAGGCCCAACTCATTGGCATAAATCTCTACAGGCACCCACTGGCTCTGACAATGTGTTTTTCTCCCTCTGTGAGTCAGGCATGTGTGTCCCTCTTGTAACCCTCATCCTCCACTCTAGAATGGAGCTGAGGATCACAGGAGAGGTTTATGTTTACAGATGCTCAGGAAGACTGAAACTTTAACTCTGGTAGGCAGCTCCAGCTGACCAGAATGGCCTGTGTCCTGGAAGCTCAAGGAAGAAGCTGTTGAACTGGAACAGATGCCTTCATTTGCTCCCCATCATTCACCCTTTTCTTTGTTGGTTCCCCATCTACTTACTGACCAACCCATCACCTAGGTTTACTCACTGTTCCATCCATTATCCATCCATCCATCCATCCACCCACTCACCCACCCAGCTGTTCATCCACTCATATCCATCCATTCATTCAAACAAAGACCAGTGGGCATGAAAGTTCCAGGTTGGGTGCTACATGAACCCAGAGCAGTCCCTCCTCCTTTTAATCTACCTTCCCAGCTTTATCAGAAGGTGCTAAATAGATGATCTTGGCCCTGTTGGAGGATCTTGAGAGAGCAGGGACCAGCTGAAAGCTGTGAATACTTATAGAAAGGTCACATGGACCTCAGCCACACAGGTGCGTCTTGTACTCTGGTTCCAAGACTCCCAGGTATGCCTATTAACCTCCCTGGCCTTTAAGATCATCCACTAGAATATGGGGCCAACAGGGAGATGAGATGCTACCTCCAAAGAGCTTTTTGCATGTGAAGACATCTTTGAGTGGGTACAAATTAAGCAGAGAATGGGGGGAAGACTTACGTGAGCTGGGATGATGATGATGATGATGATGATGATGATGATGTGTGTGTGTGTGTGTGTGTGGGTGTGTGTGTGTGTGTATGCCCCTGAGTGTCAGTCATAAAACCCCAGTAAAACTCCAGAGTCCATGTACAGACTCCCCCCAGGCCAGCCAGGATACCCACCTTGCCTTTCTAGTCTGGGCTTGGCCCCCATCCCATAGCATCTGCCAGCAGCGGAGAGATTATCTCCTAAAAATAGGGATGGGCCCCACTGAACTTGTTTTCTCCCTTCCCCATGATTTGCTATCATCAACTCAGGGTGCTTAGGACACCAAGTTCCACCCTAGCTCCACAGGGACCATTTGGTAGGGGGCATGTGGAATCAGTCTGCCTGGGTTCAGTCTAGCAGTAGGCATCACAGATCAGTCTGAGGTTGTGGTCAGGGCCCTGGGGACATGGCTTAATCTTGAGCTAGAGGCAGGGATTCATTTGGGCCAGCTCCAAAGTGAGCCACTGGGGGCTCCTGTCTCACCCCAATGGTGCCCATCTGAGTGACTCCATCCACTTACTTTCTGCGAACGTTCCCACATGCTCACCAGCCTGTGTGTGAGACCAAGAAGTAATACAGAGCCTGAATGGGGCAGAAGGATCCATCCTTAGCTCCACTTTTCCCGTCCCTGCCTCATGGGGCCCTCAACACTCCTCCTGAGACTGGGGGGAGCTCTGCTCATCCTGGGTGCAAGGTGGCTCCAGCACAAGGACCCGAGTGCTCTCACATGAACAGAGGATATGAATTCACATGGTTGTACCTGCTCATTGCAAAGAGATGTCCTGAACACAAGGACACAAGGGCACATTCCCTGAAGGATGCTCTCACCATCACCTGTATAGTTACACTGGTCTGTGGCTGGTGGGCTCTGGAGGCCCAAGGAAATGACCCACCTTGTTTTGGCTTCAAGATCTCAGCAACAGCTTAGATGATGCCCTTGTGTCCTTCTTCACAAGGGACCCTAGTCTTACCCTTCAAGCCTTCTGACCTATTCTGTGTAGCAGGAGATAGAGAGGGCGTGAAGAGGCCTCTGTGTGCTCACTCATCCATGCACATGTGAATGTGCAGACATGCTACAGCCATCCTTTAGGACCCAGCCAGGCTCTCTGAGCCTTTATTATTAGACAAAAAGCTGCCATTTGGAATATTCTCACAGCTATCCCAGTGTTCAGACTCTGGGTCATGTCTGGTGACAGTGCCTCCACTTCAGAAAAGTGAAGGGCTTTTACTCTGTCCTGGTCCCCAGTGGATCTTGACACTAGGTTCTTTCTTAGTGAGTTCATATGGGGCTGGGGCCAACCTCCCAGCTGGGGAATGTCTGGATCACTCACGCTGTTGCCTTCAGGGGCACACTGTCTGCTGGCTGATCCAGGTCCTTCTTCCTCGCCAGGGCCAGGTGGGTGAAGACGAGAATAAGGATGAAGCCTAAAGAACCCAAGTGGGATGAATCAACCCTTTGAAGGGGCTGTGGGCTGGGTCCCTCACTAAACTCCTGCCATTGGTATTGGTTTAATAAAGATGACATTTCCTAGACAGTGTTCCCAAGGCTGTTCTGGATATAAATCCTGGTGTCTGATGGGATCTGAGTGCTGTCATCTAAGCATGTCCCAGACTTCTAAAGCCCCTTCTTAGGAGGATCGAAAATTCAAGGACTGCCTAGGCGGCTGTGAGTTCCAAGTCAGACTGGGGCAACTTAATGAGATCCTGTTTCAAAATAAATATTTCTTTTTAAAGGCTGGGGAACCAGGTGTGGTGACACACACCTTTAGTCCCAGCACTCAGGAAGTAGAGATAGGTGGATCTCTGTGAGATCAAGCCCAGCTTGGTCTACATAGGAGTTACAGGCCAGCTGGGGCTTCTCCAAAAACAAAAACAAAACAAAGCAAAACAACAGAAAAGGCTGGGGAAGTAGTTCAGCAGAAAAGTGCTTGTCTGGCATGTGTAAGACTCTAGGTTAAAACCCCAGTAAAACACCACACACACACACACACACACACACACGCACACGCACACACACGCACACACATACACATGCGCATACATGCGCACACACACGCACACACACACACACATACCCACGCACACGCACGCACATGCACACACATACACATGCGCATACACGCACACACACACGCACACACACACACATACACACACACGCACACACACGCACACACACACACACATACACACGCATACGTGGTGATTGAATTCAGATTGAAGTCAGGTTATCAGGCTTGGTGGCAGGCACCTTCACCTGCTGAGTCATCTTGCAGGCCCCTAATACAAGTTTTAAACACACACACACACACGCGCACACACACACACACACACACACCCCTTTTCTTTGGGGCACAGTTTGGATGGAGTTCATGGGAGAGCCATTGAGTTATTCACATGGATCTTCAAGAGAAAGACGCCTCACAGCTTTGTATTAGAACCAGTGAAGAAAACCGGCAAGGAGCAAATTTAGAACTTAGGGAACTACGTAAAGGGGATGGAGAAGGTCACTGGAGTTGAAGGAACAAAACTGGATAGACCTGGGTTTTGTCACTGTCATCTTGAACAAGTCATTTAACCTTTCTGAGCCACAGTAATTTCATCTGCAAAGCTGGGAGGTGGCAGGATTGAACTCTCAGGGTGTGGAGAACATTCTTTTATGTGCTTGCTATGGGGTCTGACACACAGGCAATGCATGATAATGTGATGCTAAAAGCTGTTTCCAACATCACTGTGATACCTGGGATGGTATATAATGTCTAGGGGGCTCTTTTTCCAGGCCTGGGGGTCAAGGGACACTGTTTCTCTGGAGGCTGTGACTCTAACCACTCATCACCCTCACCCATGAAGGAGTTCAGCCTCTATTACCTATTGCTGCAAGGGTGCCCAAGACGACACCCACTGCTGACAGCTTCGTGGGCATGCCCTCCATGTGGCCCACCTTGCGCATACACTGTCCTTCCACATTGCAGCGACACACAATCACTGGGGTGGGAGAGGAAGATGAGAGTGTTAGGGAAGGCTCCCAGCTGCTTGGAGTACCCTGTCTGGCCAGTTGACTGACAGGTGTTTTTGTGCACACCCATGTATGTACATATGTATGAAAGAATGCATTCCTCTGTGCATGTGGCAGCGTGTACACAGATATGTGGACCCAGCTACAGACGTGCAAATATGCACAGGCATGTGCTATCTTTTTGAGCATGTGTGGTATGTACCCAGGCTCTTTCCCCTGTACCATAATGGCTCTCCCTAACATGTGGCAGTGTGTACACAGATATGTGGACCCAGCTACAGACGTGCAAATATGCACAGGCATGTGCTATCTTTTTGAGCATGTGTGGTATGTACCCAGGCTCTTTCCCCTGTACCATAATGGCTCTCCCTAACCTTGGCTGTGCTTGAGTCCCAGCCTCACCTGGAACCAGGAGTTGCCACATCTGGGCATCATGGTAGATAATCACAGGGACCATGTATTCACCTGGCTCTACCCAGTGCAGGGCCAAGGTGAGGTAGGCATGGGAATCTGTTGGATTGCGGGCAATGATTAGGGTTACTAGCTTGGACAAGCTCTATCAGAACTGCTCCCCTAGAGTCAACCCCACCTCATATTTCATTTCCGTGTGAGTCCTATCACCCAGGCTCCTTCCTTTCCCCTGCCACATACCATTGAAAGGCTGGAGGTGCCAGTCCCACTGCATGGTGGGGTTGGGACCAAGGGTAAAGCTGTAGGGATGATGCTCATTGGCCAGGTCAGGGTCTTCACTGACTCCACTGACAACCACACCATAGTCCTGGCGGGGTGTGCAGAGGTGTCGGTTGGGCCCAGGAGCCAAACTCAGTGCTGGGATGGGAGGGGCCTTCAGGAAGTGAAGTACGATGGTGGCAGAAGTGCTCAGTCCTGGTTCATCTGTATTATTGGGGGTGAAGATAAGCCCTAGAGTGCCTGGGCTGGTCCCCATGTAGCCCACACAGCCCATCAGCCTTACACTGCTGCATCTCCACCCATTCTTCCCATCCAGTCGCCATCCCCTGTCAGTCTCTTCCTCACGGTGGGCTTCATCCTTTCACTCACTGAACAACTGCCATGCCCACCATGTACTTTTCTGGATGCCATACCTGAGTGCCCTGGTGCCAACATCCATCCAGGTGGCAGTGCCCTGACCATGGGAGGGACTTCTGTATACCCTCCCTGACATGCCCTCCCAGGATCAGATGTTCATCCTTTCCAAGTGCCATTCACAGGCTCCTATACCTGGCCTCAGTGTTCTGTTTGACCCATCTAACACTCCTGCCCTATACAAAACTTCTGGCCCTCCTTCTACCTCCCTATACCAGTACTCACTGTCCCTGCCTGTCCTTTGAGTTGACATCCTGAGAAGCCCAAGGGGCAAGGTTGAAAGATTTTGAATATTAAGCTAGAAGGATGGTTTTCACGTGAGGTTTTCAAATGGAATTACTTCTCTATCCTCCCCTTCAGAAGACCCCATTGCTGCCTGATCATACCTGTGTCTTTGGCCTCCACAAGCACTGTGTACGTGTCCCCAGGCCGGGCACCCCGCAGGGACTGGGCTGTGTGCACCTCCCCGGAGACCTCCTTGATGCAGAGCCAGCCCTCTGAGTCATTGACTAGGGAGAACCTGAGGCCCAAAGAAGGAGGAGTATGTGTGGAGGGGGAAGGCATCGGGACTACATACAGGATCTTACTCAGAAACTCCCAGGAGCGTGTGGCTTGCTTAAGTCCTATATCTTTTCTGCCTCTCAGGGGCAGCAACAGTGCTGGTGAGCCCAGTCTCTCTCCCTACTTTCAGAATTTGTTGAGGTTTGGTGTTTGAACTGTGGGTAGGGCGAAGATTAGCAGAGCCTGTGTGTCTGATTCCACTTCGCTAGTTGCAGAGCACCCATTCAACTAGTCTGAAGGGCCAGAGTCAGAGCACATGCCTGTGCTTCAATCTGTGTGGTGATGCTCCCTCCAGGAAGACTAATCAGAGCTCTAAACACTCCCTCCGTTCCCACCTATTTCATCCAGCCCTGATCCTGCAGGAGTCAGAATCATGGCATTAGTCATAGTTTGAGAAGTATTC